ACCCTGACAATAACCTTCACATCAATGTGAAGAAGACAAAGGAAATGACTGTGGACTTCAGAAGGAACAAGCACACCTATCCTCCCATGAATATAAGAGGATCTGCAGTGGAAGTCATTTCCAGCTACAAGTACTTGGGTATGCACATGAATGACAACCTCAGCTGGGGCAATAATACTCCCAGCCTGATCAAGAAAGCTCATCAGAGACTCTACTTCCTCAGACGGCTAAGGCGACCTGGTCTGGGAAGCTTAGTTCTCACCTCCTCCTACAGTTGTGCAGTGGAGAGCATCCTGAGCTCCAGCATCAACATGTGGCGTGGAGGCTGCACAGCTGCAGAAAGAAAAGCTTTGCAGAGAGTGGTGAAGGCTACACAGAAGTCTGTCGGAGTCAGCCTCCCCACCATCACAGACATCTACACCTCCAAAATGCAGAAAGAGGGCCACCTGCATCATGAAGGACCCCACTCACCCTGCACACACACTTTTTGCCCCGCTCCTCTCAGAAAGGAGGTTGAGGACCATGAAGTGTAGAAACACTAGACTGAGGAACAGCTTCTACCCTGAGGCTGTTAAGACTCATGAATCTCTAACCAGAATAATTACTGTGAAAAATCATATCATGCTGCTGCTGATCTGTTTCATGTTGCTGCGGATCTGTTTCATGTTGCTTGTTAGAACAGTCGTTCTTTTAATCATATTATTCTTTTAATTCTTTTATGTTTTACTCTTGGTTTTCTTCATGAGTTTACTTTTATGTTTTTGTCTTATGATCATTTTATTTTCATGTCCTCTTTAGTGGAAAAACCCAGAAGAGATGTTTTACAACCTTTAACCATCTACCAAGCTTGAAAAAACTTGTTGTTCCAGTCTGCCCTTCCCTCAGAAACAGACAGTGACTTATTGCTAAAAAAACATGTAAACAAGCTGCTCTATACGATTACACCCACCATTGTCATCCGGTAAGATGGCGCCCGTGTACATGGCTTGCAATCCACCTCTGTTGATGGTGTTCGGATTATTTTTGTTTTGTTCGTTTTTTGTCTGTGATATAAACCCACTGCTGATGTATGACTGACAACAGCTTCTGGATCTTGGTTTTTTCTGTCCCCGATGTCGCTTATTTGGAACAATATGAGCGTACCTCTGGACCCCCTTCCTCCCCCCCTGCTGGCGGATGTGCTAGCTTACCTCTGCTGCGCTCCTCACCTCCCTGCCCGGATACATCGCTTCAGACGCCGGGGAAAACATGCTGGGCGGCTGGTAAAGCTTAAAGCCCTGCACGCTGCATCTTCCTCTTCAGCTGGTGGTCATGGTTTCCATCGCCAACTTCCCGTGTGCCCGGACCGGGTAAACAACGGGAGTTGTCAGCTGGTGCGAAGCTCGGACCGACCCAGAGGGGCTGTTATTGAAAACCTGAGGCCACTGAAGCGCGCAAACTTCACCGCTGCTGGCTCCACTTTGGACAGTATCCGGATGTGTTTGGTCAACGTAAGATCGGTTACCAACAAAACTTTTGTCCTCAGGGACTACTTTCAAGAGCACGAGTTGGACATTTTCTGCATCACAGAGACTTGGATGTCTCCGGGTGAGTCCAGCGCCTTAACGGAATTATCTCTGATAAAATTACCTCAAACTCTCACAACCCACGTGTCCTCTTCTCCACCCTAAACTCTGTTCTCCACCTCACTGAACCATCACCTCTGGAAGCCTCAACTGAGCTGTGCGAGAACTTCTTACATTTCTTTTTGGAAAAAAAATTGCGACCACCCGGGCTCTCATTTCCCCTCCAACTCATGACCCATCCATCCCACCTCAATCTGTAGCTCCATTTGACCATTTTAAACCCATCACCCAATCTTCTCTACAGCAGGTCATGTGCAGCTTGAAACCATCTGGCTCCCCCTTTGATGTGGTCCCCCCTCGACTACTAAAGGAGGTTTTTCCAACTCTAGGTACGTCCATTCTTACTAGAGTAAACAAGTTTATCCACTGGCGTGGTGCCAAAATCCTTTAAACACGCTGCTGTCCAGCCTCTCCTGAAAGAACCAAACCTTGACCCCTCAGTCGTATCCAACTTCCGGCCTGTCTCCAAACACCCATTTGATTCTAAACTACTGGAGAAAATAGTCGAGTCCCAGTTGAAGTGCTTCCTGGAGGGTCACGCCATCTTAGAGCTATTCCAATTTGGCTTTAAACCTCTCCATAGCACTGAAACTGCCTTGCTGAAGGTCTTTAATGACATTTTCTTAACCACTGATACCGGTGATTCTGTGCTGCTTGTCCTGTTGGACGTCACAGCCGCCTTTGACACCATCGACCATGAGATCCTCATTGCTAGGTTGGAGCAGTGGATGGGCATCACAGGGTCAGCCCTCAATTGGTTCATATCCTACCTCGCTGACAGATCCTTTTGTGTCTCCATCAAGGATTTTAGTTCTGCAGTGGCAGAGCTTAAATGGGGGGTTCCGCAGGGGTCCATCCTGGGTCCCCTCCTATTCTCTTTATACCTGCTGCCGTTGGGTGCTATTTTCCGGAAACACAACATACCCTTCCACTTCTATGCTGATGACTGTCAAATTTACTTCCCCTAAGACACAATGGCACATTGTCTATTCAACCTCTGCTCGACTGCCTGGCTGACATAAGGGACTGGATGGCTTTAAACTTCTTAAGTTTCAATGAAAAGAAGTCTGAAGTCATGTTGTTCCCTCCCAATGACACGATCACAAACCACTGAATCGACCTCTCTGCTCTAACCCTGTCAGAAAAACAAAGAGTCACTAAACTGGGTGTGATAATGGACCCTTCCCTGAAACTTAACAATCATGTAAACATGATTGTTAAATCATGTTTCTTCCAACTGAGACAGCTGTCTAAACTGAAGCCCATATTGTCCAAAAATTACCTGGAGACAGTAATACATGCATTCATTACATCTAGGCTTGATTACTGCAATTCACTCCTGTTTGGTATCAGTCAAACCGCCATAGCACGACTACAACTGGTCCAGAATGCAGCAGCCCCATTTTTAACCAGTACAGGCAAAAGAGAGCACATTACACCAGTTTTGGCCTCACTGCACTGGTTACCGGTTCACTTTCGAATCCAGTTCAAAATACTCATGTATGTCTACAAATCACTGAACAATGTTGCCCCCCCCCCCCCCCCCCCCCCCCCCCCCC